GATCCTTAGTCATTCAATAAAAGAGCAAGAAGAAAGAAACCTACAGAGGGAGTTCTTAGGTAACTCGGACAAAAATTTGGTTTCTAAATTGGACGAAATAATTTACAGTACTGAGCATAGAGCTTCCACCTAGATCGGCAGCAGTTTATTGGGGAGGAGAGATGTTACCCTACATGTCATCTATGGTAAAGAGATAACACTCAGCATGTCATCGATGGTAAATAGATAACACCCAACATGTCATCTATGGTAAAGAGATAGCACCCAGCATATCATTGATGGTGTGCACTTGTCGTTCTGTTTAAATGCACACTATCTAATAATATTTATAACTAAGACTTAATAAAATACTAGTATAGAAGTAAGTGTCAAGTCGAACATAGGAATATTAATTAATTTGTCATGAAAACTAATTTAATTTATATATAAGTGATTTTAATATTCTATTAATACTTAGGAGAAATAATAAAATAGAAGGGTGAGGTCAAAAGAATAAAAAAAGGGAAGTGGAGAAAAGGAAGGAGGAAAAGAGAGAGAGAAGAGAGAGTTCCCTTGAGAGAGAGTAGAGATGAGGTCTCTTGTGAAAGGGATAGAAAGAGAGAGGAGGAGAGAAATCTCACATGAGATAGAGAGAAAGAAAAGTCTCATGAGAGAGAGAAAGAGAAGGAGATCAATCAAGAGAGAGGGAGAGAAAAGGAGAGATCTCATGAGAGATAGAGAGAAGAGAGGTCTCACAAGAGAGGGAGAGAAAGAAATAAGACGAATGGATGTGTGCTCGAAGATTCATACAGATGACATGAGGTCAGCTGTGAATGTCTCCAGCTTGTTACAATCATTGAGTGCTCATTAATTAGCCATTAATCTCGATGATTTTGTGTTTGAAAATAGAAAAATACTCACTATTTGTGGAACGCTGGGAATGTGAATATGTCAAGATTCGACTCTAAATCAATAGAAAATAAGTTGAAAACAATCTTAGCTTGATTTTAGATGAGTTTTGGAGGATTCAAAAGAAGAACAAAGATCATTCATCAAGTTTTGAATTAGTTCTACTCATTTCAATTGAAACGTGGTTGAAACGGAAATAGCTTGCTGTAAAATGTAAATAAATGACAAAAGTAGGTAAGTAAATGTTAAAAATAGGAAATAAATCATTGCCCAAGTTTAGTTTGCCTCTTGGGCAATTAGAGATACTAGTGTGGTGGCTTGGTTTCGTCTAATCGTGCCACATCATGTTGGAAGTCACAGAAGTATCGTTTGGAAACACTACGCCACTTGTCGGAGAGATCCACCAAAAGAAGGGTTGACCATGCTGTCACCGTCATCTAGAAGAAGGGAAGAGCTGACCACTCACCCGAGGCCTTGAGTGCAGTTGGGGGAGGAAAGAAGAAGTTTACTGATCATCGAAGATGTCAATCACACAAAAAGAGAGAAGAATGAATTGTTGTGTTAGCGACTACTATCAGAATTTTAAAGATAATTAATAATATCTATTTTACCAAAAAATAATTGATTATTATCTTTATATCATTGATGATGATACATGTGAGAACTTAAGTTCTTAGTATCGTGGAGCTCTACAAGCCGCTAGATCAGATGAGCTTGGTCATGTGGCTCTTTGAGTGACGTAGGATCAACCCGCCACAAACCACTACTGATCAAGAACTTATGTTCTAATACCATGGTGCCTCCATAGCCGTTGAATCTGCCTTTAAGGCCACATGCGTGCTGAGCAGTGTCAAATTTGTGAATTACTAATGAATCACTTTATGCATTTGGTATCATGGTGGTTCGCTAGCCGCAAGATCAAGCTAATCAAATGACGTGGCTCTTGACATACCACTAGATCACACTGTGCTCCACATGGCCACACTGAAATAGATGAAAACATTTAGTCCCACATCAGAAATATTTCAGAACATATGCTGAATATAAACTAAAGCTACATCTCTCAACAGAGATCCCTTCTCCCAAAATAAAATAATGTCCAGGACCATCTTGCGAGAAGGCAATAAGGTGGTCCACCCTCGTGCACATACATTTATACGAGCGCTCCTTGCCCCACGACTGGTTGACCATTGGGACATGGAAGGGGAGTGATACATGTGTGTAGAGCGAGGCATTCATCACTCGAGCCCAGCTCATGGCTCCCTGAGTCTAGGTCTACCTGCTCAACCATTGTCCCCCCTCTAGGTCAATTGTTGAGTGCTAGCTTGCCAGCGAGCAGAAGAATTTCTAATATTTTATTATTTTAATTTTAATAATAAAAAATTATGCTAAGTATTCTGACTTCAAACTTCTAAAATTAAAAATATATTCTATGTTTATTCGGCAAGTTAACACAATAAAATCAAATAATAAAACTAATTAAAATACATAATTCTTGCTTTAACAATCATCGATGGTAAAGAGATAATACTATAAAAATTGGTGTCAATTGATTGAAGGTGCTATTATGCTGTATAAACCATTCAAGGAATTCCTAGTTGTAAGGACACAATTCAGGATTTAAGATGATCTGATTCTCAAACAGGCCTTATATACTTGCTATGAATGAAATTCAAGTAATTGATAACTAGCAAGTGATGGTCTCAATTAATTTATCCAAAAAGGACACCCTGCTGAGGAACCCAGAGATGGTCCTAAAGAGGTAGGAACTCGTTCAGCAAAAGACAATTCAAGTACAAGACCCTTTGACTGTCAATCAAGCCTTGTGCACTTGCTAGAAAATAAATTACAGAATGTGATAATAGGCAAATAGAGGTCTCAAGCAATAAGTCAATTAAGTCAACATAAAAAATTGGTTTACTAGGAAACAAGAAATAGTCGATTCAAGATAGGAACAGGTTAGGCATCTCATTTCCAAGCCTGAATCACCATTAAATTTGAATCAACTTTCTCAGAGCCACATGATCAGTCGTCCAGACTTGTTGGCTAAGCCTTCTGTGGCTAGACAAAAAAAGCCTGAAGAGGTACCTAAATCTGATTCTTGACGTCATATGGCGGCTGTCTACAGTATGCTTCTTTAAATCGTGATATAAGGTTCCGACCATCCATCAATCGATTCAATTATCTTTTTGCCTAATCACTCATTAATCGATAGCCAAAAAAAATACTGATATTTTTTCGACTTGCCATATTGTTGTTTTACAATTTGACATTAGATACACGAATAAAATGTATGCCGTTAGATAGACGTCAAATAACTGCCGATGGATCATATCCCACTGACACTAAACAATTGTCGGTGTCTCTGTTTCAGGGCGACTGCTAGATCTGAATCGGTCAAAAGAGCTTGCTCTTCTGTTGATGGGGTGTGGGGGGGGTGGGGGGAGGGGAGGATAAGAATGAAAAGAACCAGCATACATTTTATTCGTGAATCAGCCCACCGGGTAACTTGATGAGAATGTAATGAGAATGTATCTAACAGGTGAAGTAAGGCAAATTGCGCTTCTGCTTTAAAAGTTATTCTGCGAATCACTGATCTTAATTAGAGTAACACTTTTGGAGAGACGACTCTTATGGAGAAGGAGACTGAGAACTGGATGAGCCACCGAGCTTCCCCACTGCTGAAACGAGTCATTTTCAACAGCAATGAGCATTAAAGACATGCCACTATTTGTTGACTCAAGTAGAGGCATGTCGACTTAATACATGCATGATGACGGGTGGAGTAAATAGGAACAATACATTCCTCAATCTATTCCGAGCACGTGATGAAGACGCAGGAATTCGGAGTACCAAACATCGACCTCAGACTACGTTCCGTACCTCCCGTCTTAGGTAGATCCTCGTGTGTTTGGACATTTCTCGTGGCGACATTTAGTGTACGTTGTGTAGAGACAGTACCGATTGCCCCCACCCCCATTTTCATGAAAAGAAAATTCAAATAGTAAAAAACTGTAGACATTATTTTAGAAGTTTCGTAATAGTTGACCTCTCACGAGTTGATTCAGTATAGCTTTATTGAAATCGGGAAGCAAACTGTGCAAAGGCCCGTAATTCCAGCATGTCGTTGAATCAAAATTATTTTCGTATCACTCAATCTTTCTTGATACAGACGAAAAACTGTCTAGATGGTTAGTTACTAGAAATTAGTCGCACTTATAAGGTACCCTAGGCATGTATTGTGAGAAACTTCCGCAACCGCATCAATTTGCGTCCTTTCCGGTTTTTTAATAATCCGGTCATTTGGGTATGAAGCATCATGCAGTTGATTCACAAAAAGTTCTCCCCTAACTCTCCCTTATGATGTCCCTGACCAGTGGACTGCGTTTAGCCTCGTTCAAGATCAACAGAGGTTGGAACGGGAAGGATCTAAAGCGGAAGAAAACTACAAAGATGATATCTGGATGCGGTAATCAAAGTTTTGGTGAAATGCGGCTCCATAAACTTGTCTGGCTCACATACTATCCCGTTATCGCGTGGTTTCACGTAGCTGAGGAAAATGCTCTAAACTAAGTTGATACAGCAATTTGCATTGAAAAGACCTTTTTTGACATAACTATTACTCAATAGCACAAATGTTCGGTATTCCCTCCTAAATTATATACTTGTTCGAAATGTTGTATTTTGATACGTGGATCACACAGCTTCGTTTGGGAAAGTACTGACTAATAGCGTTTTAAAATCAAAGTTTACACCTTGCTTGTCTCTACCGAAGTGACACGCCAAAATTTCTCCACCAAACATCCATTTTACTCTCGGATAGTGTCCGCAGATCAAAAGGAAGAATTGCAGACAGTTTCCTGACCAGAGTCCACCACCAAAACAATCATTCAAAAACATTTGCTGTTAGAGGAAACAGATATCTGATATTAGACTTCAGGTTTCACTGATAGATACAATTGTGCGACATATTCTTACACCTCAAGCTTCACTGACCAATACAGCTGTGCGACATATTGTTACAACCTTTTATTGATACTCAACAGAACAACGAAACAGGACAGTGCCTCTTGTCAAGAAGCACAGATCGCATCACTCTTGTCCTCAGTAATCTACGGACAAGCCAGCCCACTAGGCACGTCCACGCCGCATAGATTCAGCAGCAGCTTAATGTCGCCTGGGATTTGAATATTGAGTCCGAGAATATTTGCTTTAATCGCGAGGCAAAGGCACGTGGCAAGGTTGTAGCTTGGAATCGACTTGATGATACTGCAACAAAGTTGATAGCCTATTGGGATCCCCAAGAGTTTCAGGACTGTGAGAACTGGAGCGCACACGCCTAGTAATGTAAGCTGAATCAAACAGCTTGGTGGAGGCGGTGGCGGAGGTGGTGGAGGTGGGGGTGGAGGTGGGGGTGGAGGTGGTGGAGGAGGTGGAGGTGGAGGTGGAGGTGGAGGTGGAGGTGGTGGCGGAGGTGGTGGTGGTGGAGGAGGGGGTGGAGGAGGAGGAGGTGGGGGTGGAGGTGGGGGTGGAGGTGGTGGGGGTGGAGGCGGAGGTGGAGGTGGTCTAGGTGGAGGTGGTCTAGGTGGAGGTGGAGGTGGAGGTGGTCTAGGTGGAGGTGGAGGTGGAGGTGGTCTAGGTGGAGGTGGCGGAGGTGGTGGTGGTGGAGGAGGGGGTGGAGGAGGAGGAGGTGGGGGTGGAGGTGGGGGTGGAGGTGGTGGGGGTGGAGGCGGAGGTGGAGGTGGTCTAGGTGGAGGTGGTCTAGGTGGAGGTGGAGGTGGAGGTGGTCTAGGTGGAGGTGGAGGTGGAGGTGGTCTAGGTGGAGGTGGAGGTGGAGGTGGTCTAGGTGGAGGTGGAGGTGGAGGTGGAGGTGGAGGTCGTGGTGGTGGTGGCGGTGGTGGTCGAGGTGGAGGTGGAGGTGGTGGTGGTGGTCGAGATGGAGGTGGAGGTGGAGGTGGAGGCGGAGGTGGAGGTGGTGGAGGCGGAGGAGGTGGTGGTGGTGGTGGAGGTGGTGGTGGAGGTGGTGGTGGAGGTGGTGGTGGTGGTGGTGGTCTAGGTGGAGGTGGAGGTGGAGATCGTGGTGGTGGTGGCGGTGGTGGTCGAGGTGGAGGTGGTGGTGGTGATCGAGGTGGAGGTGGACGTCTAGGCAAGCCTTGGCTAGAAACCAATGTGAAGAAGAGCAAATTGAAAACGAGGAGGAGTGCTATCGATGCCCGACGTTTTAAGGCCATAATTAGCCTGACACGTGAAGACCCTGGATTGCCAGAATGAGGAATCAAAGATGAGCCGGAGCTTCAAAAGTGCGTTTCTCAGCTGTGCGGCAGTACAAGGAATTTATAGAGGGCTATGGGAAGAGAGCAACCCCGATGAATAGTCGTTATCTGAGAAAATTCGCAACTCAAATAAAGAGATAACTGTTCCAACTCATGGTAGATGGTCTCCTGCCCTCAAGTTGCTCATTTAGAAATTCGTGTATTCCGTTGACCAATAACGCCTTTAATTTAACATCTACGTCAGCAGCTTATCTCGAATCCTCACGTCCTTCACGGCATTATCAGTAGTCAGCATCATAACAATTTTTCTGCCTAAGTTTACGTAGGGAAAGTTGTGCTAAACTCAACATCTTGCAATAACGTTTCCATATGACTATTCCCGAATATGATAATGTTGTTGTATCGTACTCTTCGGTTGTTTTTAAATGAATTTAGTTGCACTTGGAAAACAAAGGGAGCAATCATGGGCCTGTCTTGGTTCCCTATGAACGTTTCAGAGATCTCTGGTAGTGCCAGCTGGACATTTAGGTCAAGAGAAAAGTTCTTGGGATGAGCAGCCTAACCTGTTGCGGTAGTCATTTTACACAGGATAGATACTACACGAAAAGTTCAGAAAAAGTGCACAGATTTTCATGTGCTTTTGGACTAGTAGACAGGCGAACTTGACAGATGCAAAACCGTGCATTGATTTTGAGATTTGTTTGTAACAACATGGATCATCATTTTTACAGAGTGAACAATATCTATTTATCTCATTGTACGAAAATAGGAAACTGCAGCATAGGATGCTTAGACAATCGTACTAATCACTATATTTATACGTTGTGAACGGAGAAGGTAGGCCTGCTGAGCTAAACTATCTTCCTGTTCAACGAAAATTACTCGTCCAATGCTACACCCAATGACTTAATCGCCACTAAATGATGATTTCGGTGGATAGTTACTAATTAAACCTGTAGGTCCGATTCTCACAACAATAACACATAAACCTGTTTCAGTTATGCTTGGGTTTCAGTTAAAACGACTTGATGTTAGTTGGACATCGCATGATCTCCAAATTGTGGCAAATTTTATATAAAACTTTTCTTCTTGCTTTCATCTCAAACAATATTCTGTATCAAATACTTTCACATATTGTCTAAGCAGTTTTCCACAGTATGAACGTTTGAAATTCTTCGTGGCTTTTACATTCGACATGTTTTTTAAATTGTGCACACATATGCCTCACATTACCTTACTGGGCAGGACTTTTCAATCGAAGACAAGTTGCAACATTACCTTAAAGTGTACACTTGTTTTCATACCACCAGCCAACTCATAATCTCACCTAGAAAATACTTCCTGGTTTTTTGGGCCCATGAGGGACCTGATGTCCTCTATTGATGCCCTCGGTTTTAACAAATTTATTAAAATTTATTAACTTATTTTAGTTTTCATTAATGTATTGAATTTGTATGATTTAAATACTCATTGTATACAACAAGCTAATCCTATTTATTTTCATTGTTAAATGATTATTATTTCAGCTCTAATAATTCAATCTAAGGTTTTAATTCTTGAGATTAGATTATCTTTCTACCTTAGAAAAATTTGGGGATAAAGAATTAGAAACAGAAGAAAGTTAAGTATCTAGTCATATGCTATGAACTAACACAAGATTCATGTGTAGACACATTTACAAAAGCAAAACATTTACTTGGATCATATATATGATGATCTAATCATAATGTAGGATGTCTATTAATTACGTATTTTTCCACCTGGTATTAGATAAGTTTTCAAGCTATTAAAAATCTCAAAATAATAGAAAAGTAAAGAATAGATTGAAGATTCTCTTTTAAAATGTTTATATCAATGGCAACACAAAAGATAGGTACATGGATAAATAATAACATAGAACTTGTTGATTTGGAGCTAATGTGGATACCAAACTGTTCTATATGAAGTTAGAAAGGATAGGTACATGAAGTTAAAATGTTCTACATGTCTATTTTTATTTTAATTTATTTTTCTTTATTTATCTCAAAAATAAAACTATAAAAATTATATAAATTTGTAGAAAATCACATAATTAGCTAATAAAATCACATTAATCAACTGAAAACCACTTTTCACACTTTAACATAAATATAAGTCTATTTATCATGAGTTAAGACTAAAATTATATTATTTACTAATTATTAACTTGTGATAATGAAGACTTATCAGTAGTCAACCCGTTTTCTTGGATGAATTGTGCTTGAGGATTCACACACATGACATGAAGTTAGTCATGAATGTCTCCAACTTGTTTTAACTATTGAACACTCATTCATCAGCCTTTCATCTCAGTAATTTTATGTTTAAAAATATTCTTTATTCACAGAATGTTAGGAACATGAATATGTCGAGATTCAACTATAAAAATCAATAGAAAATAAGTTGAAAATGATCTTAGCTTAATTTCAAATGAGTTTTGGAGGATTTAGAAGAAGAACGAAGATCAAGTTTTAAATTAGTTGTACTCATTTCAATTGAAACATGCATGAATTAAGCTCTTGGGCAATTGTAGACACTAGTGTGATGGCTTGCTTTCGTCCAGACGTGCTACACCACATCAGAAGTCACAAAAGTATCATCCAAAAGTGCTACACCACTTACCAAAGAGATCCACCAAAAGAGGGGTCGACCATGTTGTCACTATCGTTTGGGGGGAGAAGGGAAGAGCTGACCACTTAGTGGAGACCTTGAGTACAGTTAGGGGAGGACAGAAGAAGCTTGTCGATTGTTAGAGGCGTTGATCATGCAAAAGAAGGGAAAAATGGATTGTCGTATTCACAACCACTGTCGAGATTTTAAAGATAAATAATAATGTCTATTTTATCAGACAATAATTAATTATTATCTATATATCCCTAATGATGATACTTGTGAAGACTAAGTTCCTAGTATTGTGGTACTTTAGGAGTCGCTAGATTAGATGAGCTTGGTACATGATGTATTAAGCGACGTAGGATCAACCCGCTGCAAACTGTTGCTGATCAAGAACTTAAGTTTTTGGTACCGTGGCACCTCCATAGCCATTGGATCATCCTTTAAGGCCACGTGCATGTTGAGTGGCATTAGATTCGCAAATTGCTAATGAATTGCTTTATGCATCTAGTATCATGGTGGTTTCTTAGTCGTAGGTTCTGGCTAATCTGATGATGTGACTCTCTAAGTACTACTAGGTCACACTATGTTCTAGATGGTTGTGCTGAAATAGACGAAAACATTTAGTCCCACATCGAAAATATTTTGGATGCATATGCTAAATATAAACTAAAGCTACGGTCTCTTAGTAGAGATCTCTTCTCTCGAAATAAAATAATGTCTAGGATCATCTTGGGAGAAGGCAATAAGGTGGTCCACCCTTATATGCACATGTGTGTATGGGTGCTCCTTGCCCCACAACTGGTTGGCCACCAAGACATGGAAAGGGAGCAATGCACACGTGCGCAAAGAGAGGCCTTTGCCACTTGAGCCTAACTTGTGGTTCCCCCAATCTGGGTCTACCCACTCGACCGATGTCCCCCCTCTAGGTCAACTATCAAGTGCTAGCTTGCTAGTGGGTGGAAGATTTTTTTATATCTATTTTTTATTTTTATTTTAATAAAAAAAATTATGCTAATTATTTTAACTTCAGACTTTTAAAATTAATAATATATCTTATATTTATTCTAAAAGTTAACAAAATCAAATCAAATAATAAAACTAATTAAAATACATAAATCTAGTTTTAACAATGGCCTAGATCATTTTATGAGGACAACACTCTAATCTTTCTCTTAATCTCATCTTAATGCACCCTAAGATGGACGACCTAAATCTTACCTCTTGATAACCCTTTTAAGTCTAAATGGGCTAAGCCAAAGTGATGCCCTCTCTTGAGCTCATAAACATATTAGGCTGACCCTCTCTATAAAACTTGAGCTTTTCATTAGGCTGAAGGTTTGGGCTTCTTTCATTATTTCCAACTCATATTAAGAACTCACCTAAGTTCTTGCAATCAAATAGTTATCAAGAAAATGTGAGAAAATAGTAACACATGCATAATAGTATTATCTACTCATTAATTAGCATCTATATATAAGATATTAATGTATAGATGTAATTACTCATTTATAATTATCAAAGGTCCATAAGATCACCCCACTTTCCACAACTCCAACATGTGTTGATCAGTAGTGTTGCCTTTTAATCCACACTTTATCACTTTTTGAAGTGATTTTGAGTTTGATTCCCATCTAAGACATCACTTTGTTATCAAGTGAAAGATAAGGATGCGTTTGTGCATTGAATTCATTTTCTTTAGTCTTTCTTTTCATGATTTAAATTTTTCGATGAAATTTGATAACATTCTTATCCGTTTAGTTTCATAAATTACTTCTTTTGTGTTTTAATTTTATTTCCAGTAAAAAAAAAAAAATTAATTTTCTAGTAGAGCTTAACTTTGTTAAGATTATCCAATCCATTTATTTTGAATGATTAATCAGCTTTTCTATGAGTTTGACTTGAATCTATTTCCTATTTCACCATCAATGGGGACACCCCACTCATGGACATATTTTCTCTCCCCTCCTTTGTTTCTCCCAACTTAAGTTTTTTTTCTCTCCCTTTTTTATATTTACAAAACCATTAATAAAATTTATTCAAGATATAATATTGATATTGAATCATGTAGCTCAAATATTCATTAAGCTCTAAACAAGAAATTTAAATGCTTCATTCACATATTAAAGTTTCAATGTTCTTTAGTCAACATTCAACATTCAACATTCAACATTCAATTAAAAAATACATCCCTCCTAAAACTGTAAAGTTACTCAGCTTTCTCACCCTAATATTTCTTCCTTTTTTTTAACATCAAAAAGACAAAAACATCTAGATGAGGATAAAGTCTACTTTGGATTAAAAATGATAGGAAAATTGATTTGATG